TTTACAGAGGCAACCTTCACAGCAAATGTTGTTAACTGTGCTGGAATTCGTGACTTTCATCTGGCGAAGACTCCAACTAGACCCCAGAATGGGAGGCTCCTTGCCTTTCTCATGCCTTCCTAGTTTCTTTTAATCCTGAGTTAGTTACAATAAACCAGCCACACACTGGTAACCTCAAAGTGACCTAGAGAAGTGCAGGAATGGGTGGAATGGATCGCATATTTGTACGTGGGTATGTATTTGCTTTTGTGTGTAAGGATGGGAAAAAAAAAACACAGAAGGTTTGCAGCTGCAGCCTTGGGCATAAATTCAGTAAATAACAAAGTTCTTAAGTTGTCTCTCCTGTAATGCATCCGGAATCCTCTCGAGAACAGTTTGGAAAGAGCTTTATAGAAATGGGTGTGTGCAGAAGTGAGTTTGTCCCGTCGATGACCTTTCGATGTCAACATCCCCAAGTCTCCAGTGCAGCACATGACAACTTCTAGAGAATCATGACTCAGGAAGTGGTGTGATGCCCATTTCTGCTAGTGTCATACAAGACTCCCCTCTGCACCATCCAGCTAAGAAGCAGTTGCTTCCCTTCCCAAAGGCAAACAGAGGCAGCTCTGAGTGCTCAGCTCCCAGCGTCCTTGTCAGTCAACCACGAAGTAAAGATTATCTTTTTACAGCAACCCGGGGTCCATATGTGAATAGGGCAGCAAATCTGTGTCATAACAGAACTTTCTGGTAAGAATATAAACCCAGAGGGCTGGGAGGTAGCTTAGTGAAGCGCTTGCTTTGTGAGCATGAGGGGCTGGGTTCCAATCCTCAGCACCAGTGTGCAAGCCATGAGCAGCAGGGTGTGCCTGCAAGCCCAGTGCTGTGAGTCAGCGGCAGGGGGTTGACTGTTTAGGAGTCTTCATCATGTTCTTCAAGATGAGAGACTTGAAATCCCAGACACAATGGGCAGCAACTGGTAACAAACCTTATTATAAAAGTAGGTGTGCGTGTGCGTGTGCGTGTGCGTGTGCGTGTGCGTGTGTGTGTGTGTGTGTGTGTGTGTGTGTGTGTGTGTGTATGTGTGTGTGTGTTTTGGGTTGGTCGGATTAAACAAAGAAAGGGAAGCTGATAGGCCCACAGCTTCAGGTAAACATGGTCAGGACTCAGGACCTGCCTTGAACATATCTGGCTATCCTGGACCAAGTTGGCTAGAGAGGGACCCCAGCTGGCTGGAAAGCATGCCAGGTCTTTGTTTCAAGTCAGGGGCTTGAGAAATAAGCCGGAAGTCTGCCCTTTTCTTGCTAGCCTCCTGGCCCTCTCACTTCCCCACTCCTTCTCCCCTGTGCTAGTTCACAGGCTGTTGTGATCGACAGGGCTTCACAGACTTCCCTCTTCCTAGACACCAGTTCCTGGCAAGGTTTTTCCCCTGCCCCGGCTATCTCGCTTCTCCCACGGATAGCCCTGGCCATGTCACATCTGCTTCTTGCTCTCTCTGCTCTGGTCTCTTCCAGATGCCTCTGGCTGTTCTCTCTCTCTTATCTACAATAAAAAAAACCTTCTTCCTAATCATGAAGTGGCCATTTCTATGGTTCCTTTACTCCACACTCACTTACAGCCCTCACATACATGCTGACATGTTCACAAGCACTTACACAGATGTGCATACACATGGACATGGACACATATACACAAGAATATTAAACCTGTAAAAATGATTTTTTTTTTTGGTAAATTTTAAACTAAACTAAACTAAAACACATAGTTCAGGAGTAGTGAGAGTATTCATATTGTTCTGAAGCAATTCCAGAACCTTACCATTTTGCAGAACACAAATTCTATATTGGCTTAACAACAATGTCCTCTTGCCCTCCTGTGCTCCTGGCAGCCAGAGTTCTCTGTGTATTCCTTTAGATGCCTTACATAAGAGGAATTACGTAATGTTTATCTTTACATGACTGTCTTACTTTACTAACTGAACATTCTCAAGGTTCACCCACTTTTAAGATCGAAGGCTGGATGACGCTCTATACTATGCATATAGGACACATTGTGTATCCTTTCCCCTGGTCACTGAGAGGGGTTTGCTTTTACTTCTTAGGTAATAAAAAATGTATTGCTATGGGAGTCAGTTCATACTGCAGATAAACTGAGGGATAATTAAGATTTGGTAGGTGTACATATGTGTGTGTGCATGCATGGGTGCATGCGTGTGTGTGTGTGTGTGTGTGTGTGTGTGTGTGTGTGTGTGCGTGTGTTTGGTGGGGAGTGGCACTAAAGTACCCCAAGCTGTCTTGAACTTTGTCTATGTAGCAGAGAATGACCTTGAACTCTTGACCCACCTCCCAAGTCCTGGGATTACAAGTTTGGTGTGACCACATGCAACAAACATCCCGCATTTATTATGCAGTCCCCAGGATGGAACCTAGAACCTTAGCACGCGCTAGGTGAGCACCCCACCACAGAGGAACATCGCCAGCTATATGGTCTACATTCTCAGTTTACAGTCATTGTATGGCTGACTCCAACAGTCTCACTAAATCCCCCCCCACCACCCCCCCCCACCCCCCCCCCACCCCCGTCTCCCACTCAGCCAAGGCTCTCTCAGCCCGTTAAATGTGTGAGCCAACTCCATGTCAGTTTTCTAGTGGACCAGGGCTAGCATTTTGAGAAGCCTCTTTTCACCTGTCTCTGACTCTGTCAGCGATGCACAAACTCAGAAGGGCTTTCGGGTAGGGAAAGGGATAAGGTTAGTTTCCTGACCAGGGCATAGCATACTTCCCCCTCCGTGGGCCCTGCTAAGGGCATGCCACATCTCTGCATGCTCGTCTTTCAACTTCTCATACACGAAAATGTATGTTCATGGCTTAAAGGAGACACGATGGAGAGAAGCAGGGGCCACCCAGGGGCTGTCAGCAGCACTGTCTGTACAGGTCCCTTTCATGTCCTTTCTTTACACAGAGCCACTTTCTCTACTGCTCCTGGAGCTTGAGTTTTCATTGACTGACACATTTCGGTACAGTTCCTAAGGTCATTCCACAGAGCTAAACGTTTTCCCCGCATTCTTTCTAATGATTATATTAAAAATGACTGCAAATTAAAAATGAGCAATTGTACCAATTGGGTGTTCATTTACATTGTCTGTGTATTTCCAATAATTTATGGGCAAATATGCTTTTGCCCCATTTTTCAACCTTATTCACATTTATGACACATAATGAGAAGCAGAGTTACTGGGGTAAAGGGCACAAACATTTAACAATGACAGATGTGGACCCAAACACTACCCAAAAGTGTAACATAGTCTCTCATGAACAGTTTGAGACTTCTTGTTGAATACACAACTAACTTTGTCTTTTTTTCTGGTTACAGAGTTCTTAGGTAAGAAATAGTTCCTTATTGTGCTAGGTATTTCTTTAGCTCTGCAAGGTTCTGTATACATGTGTACCAGATACTTGTAATTCTTTTCACGTGCTACTTTGTGTATACAGTTTCCCATTGAGCTCATTTTTAAAAATTGCTTTATTCAAGTCATTTGTTTTTTGTTTTGTTTTGTTTTGTTTTTTTAAAAGATTTATTTATTTATTATGTACACAGTGTTCTGCCTACATGCATGCTTGCAGGCCAGAAGAGGGCACCAGATCTCATTACGGATGGTTGTGAGCCACCATGTGGTTGCTGGGAATTGAACTCAGGACCTCTGGAAGAGCAGTCGGCACTCTTAACCTCTGAGCCACCTCTCCAGCCCTATTCAAGTCATTTGTATGTTACAGAAATAAATCTCTTGTCTGATGTCCTACAAATGTCTCTCCCTGGAGGTTATCTGCTGGCTCTATTCACTATGTTGCTGCCACAATTACAAATGTATACATAAACAGATACATGTTTTTAAAGGCTTTTGCTTTAGGCTTATGGTTGTAATTGCCTTCTCCATTCCAAATTAATTCTAAAAGATCCACTTGAATCTTATTGTCTTTATATATATATATATATATATATATATATATATATATATATATACACACACACATATATGTGTGTATATATATATATACACACATATATGTATATATATATATATATAGTGTGTGTGTGTGTGTGTGTGTGTGTGTGTGTGTGTGTGTGCAGGTTGTGAGTACATGCTCATAGCTGCGTAGGTGCTCGTGTGTACAGGTACCTACAGAGGCCACAGAGTATCTGGTGCCATTTCTCAGGACCGCTCACCTTATTTTTTGAGACAGGGTTTCTCACCAAACCCGGAGCTTGCCACCACAAGCACTTTACTAACCAGTCCCCCATTTCTATATTTTATGCGTCTAAATTTTATTTTAACATAAGAAGGGAGATGGAATATAGATTTACTTTTCCTTCAATGAGCTAGAAGTCTCTCTAATTGTACTAACAGAAGAAACCATCTTTCTTTGTCTGATAGTAAATGTCATCTTTATCATTATATATGTTGAGTTATACACTAAATTTATTCTCCATTAGGATCTCTTTGCCAAGTGTGGAACTCTATAATACCTTTAAAAACTGCTTACCTGTGTGTGTGTGTGGGGGGGGGTTGTATGCACATAAGTACAGGTGTCCTCAGAAGCTGGGGTGTTGGATCCCATGAGGCTGAAGCTAGAGGCGATTGCAACCAGCCTGATGTGGATTCTGGGAACTGAAACCCAGTCCTCTGCATGCAAGTGTAGTATTGAAGCATGACTCCAGCCCTTCTAAGACATTTTTTACTACTAGTCCTTTTTAGTTAAATTCTCCCTAAATAACTCAGTTTATCCTCAAACTTGACATCCTCCTGCCTTAACTTTCTGAATTCTAGAATTACAGATATATGCTACCACACTGGCTTATAATATATTCTTTTATAATTTATTATTTTTAGATATTCTCTAGCTTTTTGGTGTGTGTGTGTGTGTGTGTTTTACAGTTAATCAACTTTCAACTTTTTTTCCTGGTCGTTTGATTTTCTGTGACTCACATAAGTTACTGTGTTGTGGAGGCTTAGCTCTTTTACTTACCCAGATAGATGCCATGATACTCCGCCTCTTTCTCAAGCCGAAATCACAGTAACCTAGAAAAGAAACAAAGAAGTACTGAACTGAATAAGCTGTATTGTGATTCAGAACACAACATTTTCAGTCCAACTCCTAATGCTTAATCCAGAAAGCAGATGTCAGCAGTCAGTGAGAAACTTCTCTGGAAGAAGGTGTGAATCTGGCCTCAGGAAACCCATTCCCTGGGCAAGCATTTACTAGGCACTTTTCACATTCACAGTATTAGCAGAGTCATTCTGGTCTGGCCACCTGTCCTCAGTACAGTCAGAAAGAGACAAGTCATAATGGAAAGGAGAGAAAGGAGCTTCCCTCAGAGTGGCCTGTTGGGAGGAAAAACAAGGAGTGCAGGAACCTCATGTTTGCCTGCAGGGTACTGACTGGGGGGGCACGGCCAGGAGGCACGCACAGTTAAACAGTACTGCCTGATCGGGCAGGGGTCCGCCATTACTGTCTTGGCTCCTGTTTGCCCTGTAAGTTGTCAAAACTTTGTCAATTCTCTTCCTGGGGACAAGTTGTCTGGCTTCCCTTTCCTTCCCCCAGCATGAGACTTCCGGGAAGTTTTAAGTCTTTGGAGACCACCGTTTCAATAGTGTGGGAGCCAAGGGGAGGAGCTTGGGTGTCTCCCCTTACCATCCCTTCCCTTGGCCTTACAACATCTGCAAGGGGGTTGTGTTGGACCTGGACCTTCGAGGGCTCCAAGACAAGAACAGCTCAGCTCTCCACTTCTGTGTTTTATAGGAATACTTTCTGGAAGCCTCTTTTTACTTACTTAAATCTAGTAGTCAGGGGCAGTGCCCATGTCTGCAATCTCACCACAGGAGAGGCTGGGGCAGGAGGGTCACCTGGTCACCTGGTCTACACAAGGACATCCATCTCAAAATGACACTGACAAAACCAGGAGAACTGTGTCTACTAATGATGTCCTTAACCTGGACAGGCTGACGTCACAGCAAGGAAAAAAAGAATAAACAAAGATCCAGGAAGTTGTTCCCCACCCCAAACCAAGATAACCCCAGCTGGCTTTGGGCGGATTCCTGCCTATTCATTGTCCAAGGTCCAAGCCTATGCAACCTGCTATGAATACCCATCTCTACTCTTTGAGGAGGCCAGGTCAGTCCCAAGTAGGTACAGACATGAAAAAGGCCACTTCCTTGGACCCAGTCTACTTTCCATAGTAGACATTACTCAGGCCTGCTGGCCTGTCTCCAGGGTTGATTTAGAAATACAAGCTGCTCCCACCCATCCTGGCAATAAAATATTCTAAAAATTCAATGGCAGCTCAAGGGCAAAGTTCAACAGGAAATTACTTCAATGGTCCCTGGAAATATTTAGCCCCTGATTTTGCCCATTCTCGGCACCTTATGCAGTCAGCTCTCTGGTTAGAGTCTGACCCTCTGTGTCTCTCCATAGAGTCAACAGTGGGTACAACATGATGTTGCTGCCTGTTGTCATATAGAACAGGAATTTCCATTTTGGTCCTCAATGCAGCAGTGTTCAGAGATGGGAAGCTTCATGAGCACCTGGATCATGACTGGTCACTCTAACCTCAGCAGTAGATGGACCCACATTGATGGGTTCGGAACTTAATGGGCACCTGGGAATGATGGAAACTTAAGGGGTAAGACCCCTAAAGGAAGAAGGTCTGTGACAGCATGGCTTTCATACAGGTCTCTGTTTTCCCCTGGTACCATTCTCTCCCACTCTCTGCTTCTTGGTTGCCGTGAGCTGGGCCCCCTCCTCTGCCTCATCTAGAGAGCTTAGCAATGGAGCCAGTTGCCCAGAACTGAACTAAAACTCTAAAACCATGAGCTAAAAGACACCTTTCCTCCTGTTAAATCATGTCTCTCTCGGGTATTTTGTCACACTGACAAAAAGCTAACACATCTCTTAATGTGAAACCTAATTTGAGTCCGGATTTCCTCATCTGTAAAACAGAGAGCAGGCTGTTGCCAGTGCTGAAAAAATAGATACATTACAATGTCAGTCAGTGTCTTGTGTTGTAACTATGTGCCAGGTAATAGGAAAAGTATGAGAAGGTGGGTTCCACAAAGCTGGGGATTTGTGTAATATTTGTCCACTGGTGTATATGAGGGGGGGAAACTCATTCAGTGATTTAAACATAAGTCTCAGCATAACCCAGTGAGTTAGGGAGGCATCATTAATAACATCTCCACTTTGCCTAGGAAGACACTGTGGCACAGAGATCTATGATAAAATCCCTTCCACATAGCTGTTGGGTCAAGCCTACTGAACCCAGGCATCCAGATTCCAAAGAAATGAACTGTTAGTCCCCATGCCCCGCAGTCCCTGACCCAACTGATGCTTAATGTTTATTGATCCAATATAATCTGGAAGTTACTAAGGAGTATCACTGAGCCACCCCTTAAGCTTTTAAAAAGTAAAGAATGACTCCACAGCGGAGGCCAGATGACCGAACAATAGGACTTGAAACACATCCTTCCTGAAAGGGATTACAGCGGCTGCATAATTTCCTTGTACTTCCTCTCGCTCTTCTGTCTACGGATTTCTCAACACAAACAGCTCTGGGAACAGGGGTCTAACTTCCCTTATATTTTAAAATTACCTTTCAGGGCAGTCTGAAATTTTCCACCTTCGGGAAAACCAGTAACAATCCTTTACAGAACAACCTTTTGGTCTATTTTTTATGATGTTTGTGAAGAGTAGAAACTGAAGTTCCTTCCGGGGCAGAAACCCTTCTCTTGAACACACCTCCAGGGAAAGAAGTTGCCCGGTGCTCACCTTTTTATCTGCAGAGGGGCTCCAGGGCCTCAGAACTTCTATATATGGTCATTTGCAATCGCATACCTGGATCCCTCACCTGCTGACTCAAGGGCCAGGGGAGGTGATTCATGTCTAGTCAAAGAATGCTGTTGCAATCACAGAAAACGGTGTCTTTTCAGAGAAAACCGGATTTCCCCAACTCTCAATGTCCGATACCCTAATCCACCTTTTTCCTACCTTTAAAAAATAAAAATAAACTTCACACATGAAGGGGAAAATGAGCTCACAGGAGAGATGGGGATAAAGCTCTCCACGCAGAACTCAGAACAGGGGCACCGAGGCCCGCCCCTTCCCCTTCTTCTTTTAAATGTTTCCAAGACCTTTAGGAATGAAGGGCCCGGCACGTCTGGATGCCCAGGATCTGAGCTTGGGCCTCCAGGACCCGGAGTTTGGTAACTTCCCCCAGGGACGCCCTTTCGCTCCCGGGGTTCAGTCTCCTCCACTCCGACCGAGGGGAAGTGGGCTTAGGGGAGGGTCGGGGAGGGGGCAGCGCGGGGATCTAGCTGCGCTCGGGGACGGCGCGGACGAGGCGGGGACCCCGGCTCCGTGGGCGCAGCAGCGGGCGCGGGAGACTTACCTTCGGCGCAGCGGCCGCGAACCGAGGGGCAAGTGCGGGAAGGTGTGCGCTCGGCTGTCGCTCCCGGCTGCTCTGGACGGCCACCCAGACCGCGACCGCGCCCTTCCCCAGCCCCTCCTCCTGCTTCCACTCACCGACCGCCCCGGCCAGGCCAGCCAGGGGCCAGGGACGCTGTGCTCCAGCCTTGACCCACCCACCACGCAACCCTCGCCTCCCCACCCCCTGCTCCAAAGCCCTTCCTCCGCCTTTTTTTTTTTTTCTTCTCTTTTTCTTCAGCATTTGGCTTGTTTTCAAGATGCCGTGGATTCAGAGTACCTCACGGGTACCTACACTAAGTAACACTTACTTACCTAGCGGGTCCTTCGTGCCAGGCACCGTTCTAAATCCCGCATAATAGCCGTGCTACAAGGTAGATGCTGTTCTTACTCTCTAATCCCCGTTTTACAAGTAAGGAGGCCCAGGCTAGGGAGGGCAAGTCACCCAGAAAGAACAGCAGAGCTACATTTTGAGCGCAGGAGTCTGGGGATCCCTACCTTACGCCTGTTGACTCCAGGCTGAGGATTAGAGCTCAGGAGGCACCACGGCATTTTAAAGGCTTTCGGAGTCTCACTAAGTCAAGGAGGATAAAAATTAAAGCCCCACTACGATGGTCAGTATTACGTCAACTTGAACACAAGCTAGAGCCATCTGGGAGGAAGGAACCTCCATAAGATGGGGCTGTTGGCAAGCCTTTGGAGCGTTTTAACTAGTGACTGAATGGGAGGACCCAGTCTGTTGTGGGTGGTGTTACCCCTGGGCTGGTGATCCTGGAAAGGAATTGGCATTCCCTCATGGGCTCGGCATCAGTTCCTGCTTCAGGTTCTTGCGCTCTGACTTCCTGCCCTGACTTCCCTCAGTGGGGGGAGTGTGCTGTGGATGGACGTGTAAGCTGAAATAAACTCCTCAAGGTCCTTTTGGTCCTGGGGCTTTATCCTAGCAATAGAAACCTGAGACGGTGGTTCTCAACCTTCCTAATGCTGTGATCCCTTAACGCAGCTCCTCATGCTGTGGTGACCCCCCACCATAAAATTATTTTTGTTGCTACTTCATAACTGTAATCTTGCTACTGTTATGAATCGTAAAGTAAATATCTGTGTTTTCTGATGGTCTTAGGCGACCCCTGTGAAAGGGTCATTTGACTCACAAGGGGGCCCTGACCCACGTGTTGAGAGAACCATTACCCTAAGACATCCACTTAATGCTGGGAAATCAGTTCTGGTCAGCTGGCTGTTTGTGGAAGAAGGTAGAAGGAAATGCTACCATTTATCAGACCCTGAAGATTACATTCGTCCTTTTACTTTCCTTCAAGTTCTTTCTAGTACACAGCATTTCCTATTAGAGTTTGCAGAAGAGAGGTCTAGGGAAATGACTCAGGGTGAGAACATTGCCAGTACAAGCACAAGGTCCTGGGTTTGAATCCCCAGCACCCACTTAAAGCTTGGCATGACTCTGTGTTTGGGGAAGATTCCGGGAGCTGGCTGGTCAGCCAGACTGACCCAAATGGTGAGCTCCTGGTTCTGAGGGAGACTCTGCGTCAAGGGAATAAGGCAGAAAGCAGCACTGGAAGACGCACTGCTCTGGTCTCTGCACGCTCAGACACACCAACGAACACAGCACACACACACACACACAAAACAACATCACCACCAACAGCAACAAAATAAAACATCAAGAGTATGCTTGAATCAAGAACCACACTGGGTCATAGTAATAACCAGTTCTCATATGTGACCTTAGACTGTTCCAAATATTGATGCAGCAGTACTACATAATACTATTTATTAACTCTTAAGTTTTTATTTTTTACATTTATTTATGTGTATATGTGCCTATATGCTCATATTTGTGAGTGTGTGTATGTTTATGTGTGTGCAACGGTATGTGAGGTCAAATGGTGTGTGTGTGTGTGTATGCTTGCGTGTATGCAATGGCATGTGAGCTCAGATGGTGTGTGTGTGTGCTTGTGTGTGTGCAATGGCGTGTGAGCTCAGATGGTGTATGTGTGCTTGTGTGTGTGCAATGGCGTGTGAGCTCAGATGGTGTGTGTGTGTGCTTGTGTGTATGCAATGGCGTGTGAGCTCAGATGGTGTGTGTGTGCTTGTGTGTGTGCAATGGCGTGTGAGCTCAGATGGTGTGTGTGTGTGCTTGTGTGTATGCAATGGCGTGTGAGCTCAGATGGTGTGTGTGTATATGTGTTTGTATACTTGTGTGTGTGTGCAATGGCATGTGAGCTCAGATGGTGAGTGTGTGCTTATGTGTATGCAATGGCATGTGAGCTCAGATGGTGTGTATACTTGTGTGTGTGTGTGTGTGTGTGTGCAATGGCATGTGAGCTCAGATGGTGAGTGTGTGCTTGTGTGTATGCAATGGCATGTGAGCTCAGATGGTGTGTGTGTGTGCTTGTGTGTGTGCAATGGCATGTGAGCTCAGATGGTGTGTATACTTGTGTGTGTGCAATGGCGTGTGAGCTCAGATGGTGTGTATACTTGTGTGTGTGCAATGGCGTGTGAGCTCAGATGGTAATCTTAGTAGCAGGTGTCTTTACCCACTGATCCCTGTGGGTGGTCCTGTGGTCAGGTTTGAAAACTTGAAACAAATGGCCAGGGTCATAGTCTTATTAACAGCAAGCTTGACCACATGGGACAGATTGCTGGTGAGAATCAACAGTGGTCCAGCCACATGGAAGATAATTTGGGTGGTTCTTACAAAGATAAATACATTCTTACTTAATCTAGGAATTGCATTTGTTGGTGTTTGTCCCAATATTGTGGAATCTATGTGTTCACTAAAAACTACACGTGGATGTTTGTACCAGCTTTAGTCATAGCTGAAACGTGAAAGCAACCAAGAGGTCCTTTAGTAGGTGGATGGACAGTAAAATGTGGTACATTGTATATTGGAATTTTATTCAAGGCTAGAAACAGGTAAGTAATCAAGCCATGGAGACACCTTAGATGTATATTACAATGTGCTTCCTACTCTGTGACACTCTGGGAAAAGACAAAACTATGGAGACAGTGAAAATGTCCGTGGTTGCTAAGAGTTGTGGAGAAGGAAATGTGAATAGGTGGACCACAGAGAATGTTCAATGCAATAAAATCATGCAGTGTGGCACTCTAATGGTGGATAAATGACATTATACAGTTGTCAAAACACAGACTATATAGTGCCAAGAGTAAACCTTAGGAAAACTATGGATTCTGGGTGAAATATGTGAATGCTCATGTGAACTATGCCAGTTAGGTGGGGTATGTGGATAATGGGAGGTGTTGTGCATGTAGAAATGGGATACATGGGAAATCTCCATACCTTCCACTTATTTCTGCCAGGCAAGGTATCTGAACCTCACCTATGATGGTTAACATTATCAACGTGACAGGATCTGGATTAATCACCTAGGAAGCAAACCTCTAGGCATATCTTTGAAAGAATATTTATATTAGATTAAGTGTGAAGATCCACCTTGTGAAGGCACTATAAGGAGGTGTGGCCTTGTTGGAGGAAGTGTGTCACTGTGGGGGTAGGCTTTGAAGTTTCTTTCTCAAGTTTCCCTCAGTGTAACAGTCAACTTCCTGCTGCCTTTGAGTTAAGATGTAGGACTCTCAGCTCCAGCACCACATCTGCCTGCACGGTGCCATGTTCCCTACCCTGGTGATAATGGACTGAACCTCTGAAACTGTAAGCAAGCCACCTCAATTAAATGTGCTTATTTATAAGAGTTGCCAAGGTCTTGGTGTCTCTTTACAGCAATAAAAAACCCTAACTAAGACACACCTTAAATGTAGATCAACACCATCCCATGAGCTGAGGGCCAAGACTGAACAAAAAGGAGAAGCAAGCCGAGAACCATTATTCAATTCCTTCTGTAGTAGGACATTTTATCTTAGTTCGGGGGGTTTTCGGGCATCTAACAGATGGCCTGGTAGCTGTCTGTTCCTTGCTTGTCTTTTAAAGCTTTGTTTGGGGTTGACTCTGTCTTAGGAAGTAGCATGAGGAGGGTATTTGTAAATGGCAGATACTCAAAACAAATGCTAAAGAGGGGGCCTGGAGCTCAGAGGCAGAAGGTTCTATCTTCGTGACTATCCAGGTGCTTTGAAATGGAATATTCACTCACACACACACACACACACACACACACACACACACACACACACACACACACACACACATTTTAGATAAATTATGAGCACAAGGAATTCATAGCAAGGCACAACGGAATATTAAGCTGCATAACACCAGTAGTCCCTGCTGATTGGCTTCCCGCTAGACTAACCCTAGATCTTGTCAAAATATGGCTTATAATATACAGCTGGACTTCTATTTTATATTCCTGTGGCTCACCACACTTCTACATCATGACTGCAGATGCAATGGAGCCAAAATAAAGCCTACCTTCCTTAATTGCTTCCTAGCAGATGTTTTTACCACAATAATGAGAAAAGTAACTAATATAGAAAATTGGTACCAAGAGTAGTGATGCTGTGGAGATAAACTTGACTGTGTGGTTCTTAGTTGTTTGGAAATGTTTTTGCTGGAGTGATGTGGAAAAGTTGGCAAGTCCCAGAGTGCTGAGAGAAGAATATACTGGACCACTGTGATGGGAACTCAGAAGATGAAGATGAGAGAAATGTGGAGAGTGGAGCGCTGCTCACAGGCTTCAAAGGGGACTAAGGGCTCTATAAGGTTCTGGGCTAGGGAACACTCATGTGGCAGTCTGGCAAAGAATCCAGCTGCATTTGACTGTGGTGGCATTGTGCTACCCAAAATATTGTGTACCCTAATAAACTTATCTGGGGTCAGAGAACAGAAAAGCCACTAGATACTTAGGATAGGCAGTGGTAGCACACACCTTTAATCCCAGCATTCCAGAGGCAGAAGTCCATGTGTTCAAGGATACAGCCAAGCATGGTGACTCACGCCTTTAATCCCAGAAAGCGAGCCTTTAATCCCAGGGAGTGGTGGTAGAAAGCAGAAAGGTATATAAGGCGTGAGGACCAGAAACTAGAAGCATTTGGCTGGTTAAACTTTCAGGCTTTCGAGCAGCAGTTCAGCTGAGACCCATTCTGGATGAGGACTCAGAGGCTTCCAGTCTGAGGAAACAGGATCAGCTGAGAAGTTGACCAGGTGAGGTTAGCTGTGGCTTATTCTGTCTCTCTGATCTTCCAGCGTTCACCCCAATACTTGGCCTCAGGTTTGATTTTATTAATAAGACCTTTAAGATTCACGCAACATTTAGCCTGGCCTGTGTCCTAAGAACTTGAGCAATGCTGCATTAATGGGCTAATTTGTTTGGTGGGGGACGTTTTAAGGCAGGTTAACATTCAGGCTGTGTAACATCTACTGTACACTCTGCTCATCCAGACCTACAATGAGGGAGAGCCTAAACACATACTGTACGCACCACTAGGCCAGCCGTCAACTTAATTTATTTTTAATAACTAACTATGACATCCCTGGAAACTTAGGCATTGATTTTATGTACTTCCACCACACAGCCTAAACCCTGTCTCTGGAGGGATTCCCTGATTAAAAACAAAACAAAAACAAAACAAAAACCAATGGCATAAGGAAGTATTTCCCCCAGAACAAGTAAACAAAGGCCAGTGCCTAAGGGTACCCAGTCTCTATTGTGACTGGGCAGCAGAATTTGTCAGACATGGAGTTGTAGGATTTGTTCAGCATTTGCCATGCTGTGTTTCTCTCTTGCCTTGGTCTGATCCTTCTTTGCTACAACCCCATTCCTCCCTTTTGAAC